GTCCCTTCATAGTATAGTAACACATGTTCTTTTGTGTCTCGTGTAGCATGTCGAAGCTATACTCCGGTTCTGCTGTATTTTTCAGTTGGCCTACACTACTCAATCTGCTGACTACATTTCTGATAATACCATCTAAACCTATCTACTCTTGCAGTATGCCCTCGCAATGAATTGATACAAAGCTGACCACCATTTAATTGCATCATTTCTTATTAGGCTAGCTAAATGCTTCGTGAAGGCAATGCTGTACTTTCTGTAGTCAGTCTATCAGATCAGCTGAACTCGACACTCACTTATCTATGTGCTTGTCATGTTTGCTAGCTGGAACATTAAATTCTAATTTAATCTAGGCAGATCACCCTTCAAGAGTGTAAATTTTTCTGTAGTTTTTTTATCAACACATGGGGGTACTGGGTTAGTGTTACGTATATACCCCAAAATAGTACGTAATATAATGTATTATATCGAATCCTTCCAATTATGAGAAACCAAGATGTTATTTAACTATCATTTCCTTTTGGAAGGATGATGCCAACAGGGAGCTGGAAGTTTCACGGTCAATCGGCACTCTGGTTGACCACTCTCAGAGCTGTGAGCACTGCATAGCTGAGCACCAACATATCCTCTCTCAGTCGCCATCCCGATGCTTTTTCAAAACGCATAGTCAACCTCTCTGCCTCTCGGCCGTAGCTTCAAGACGCATTGCGGAGCTAGATTATGCTCGGAATCTTAGCACAGGCATGTCATCAGCCTCCCCATGAGCATCAGCCTGAGACTATAACTAGTGCATTGTCATACATCCTACTGGTCAGTACACAGAATAGGGTGATCTTCTACAATTATTGGGGTACAATTTACAGTTAAGTACGTACCTAGGCTGGTTTTCGACATACACAAACAATTATCGCTCCCTGTACACGCCTCGCTAGGTAGGTGTATTGCACACAACCAACCGCTGCCCTCGACTCGGTCGCCAGGTGTCCCATAAGTCCGACTGACTGACTTGCCTCTAGCCCAGGGCGTCTGAAAGCCCCACCACCTCCAAGCAGTGCTCATGTGCATTAAGAACATTATCTGTGATGCCCTATCAACAACCAGGCCATGCCCGATTCTCAGTCAGAAAAATATTTGACTTGAGTTTTTACACTAAGGAATGTCATCTTCTCAAGCAGTGAAATGAACATGAGTCTGAATCCTAATCCTTGAGCAGCAGTGAAATAATAAAGTATTTTCTTCTACTATGGGCAGTTCGAGACTCTTTTAAATTCATTTGCAGCATGCTCTAGGAATCCATGCTGTCACAAATATCATGGCATTCATTATTATTCACTAATTGATCAATATACATAGTCTTTATAATTTCATATGTAATAAACAATTAGTCTAAGTGTATACACATATGGCTCATAGACATGCTGCCTACTGAAGGAAGCCTACCTAGGACCCTGTTTGAGGATGGTGGACACCTCTGCAGAACTAGACCAGTCCTAGTTTATGGTTAGCGCCATTATCGACAGGTCTGAATACACGATATGATTCCTAGCTTGCAGTCTAATCAGGAATAAAACATGTTAGCACTCCTTGCACTATCAAAAGAATGGCTCCGTAGGGTAAAACACTGAACAGTCTGTTAAGGCCTAGAAGCTGATACATGTTATAACTCAATAATTCATTTTCTTTATGTTAAGAACAAATATATTTTTATATTAAATGAATCGATATTGGAGCGTGCTGTTTTCTTCATTTTGTATTGGTGTGGTGCTCTCATATGTATGTGTATACCTGTGTGTTATACATATATGTGTTTTTACACATATGCATATATACAAAAAACAAGTTTATAACTAAAGTGTAATTACTTTTAAGTATTAGACATGTCTAAAGGGTTGT